CGGTGACGGTCGCTGAAATTTATAAAATATCAAAGTGCAATAATATTATTTTTTCTAGATTACTAGCTGAATCAAATAGTTCAAAACTTGTCTGTAAAAATCATACAAAAAAATAGACAAAGAAAAATATATTCTTCTTATAAATTAAATCTGCTTGTAAACAAAACCTTAAGTGATCGGTAAAAGGTATAGTTACCTCATTGTATCATACGCATACTTTCAATCTCATTTTTCCTATTAATAAGTAAACTAATATGCTTGTTAACTGTATTTTCTAATATTTCACTACACAATACTAATGAAACGTTCCTACATTCTCATTAAAACTAGCGGAAACATGTGCAGTTAATAGGGCTCAAAAGTGGTGTACATTACGGTTCTGAGAAACGGAACTAAAGCTGCCATAAATATACACAAATAGACAGGCTAAAGCAGATCCTTCGAAGGATCTCTGAAAATTCTCAAAGCACAAAACAAAAGGCATATGAGAATGAATGGAGTGTTGACTGGAGCGAGGTTTAGCGAGAAAAGGGCCCTATTGTGTGTAGCAGAATGCAAAACAGCTTGTTTCAAATCGATTTCGAGGACAATATCCAAGCGGTTTAACAGGTTATCAACAGGAGTGTTATACGTGGAGTGCCTTTATGAACGAGTATGTTAAATATCAAAATTTATTAAAGTATAAATTAAAACTTAAACATGTGTTAACTTAATTATGAGCATCTTTTTATAGATACATGGGTTTATACAGTGATGGCTAGGATTGTTTAGTAGTCTGAAACAATATAACTTTATAGATCGATATATTGATAGGTGTATAAAACCATCATCAATATTTAAATAATTAACTGGAATATTGATAAAAAGGCAAAAAAAAAAGAATAAGACATTTCAAATATTTTAATCACATTCGTGCGTGAACAGTTACAGTATTAACTATTTAAAAAAAAAATTATTTAAAAGGGAATTGTGAAAGATTTGTGCATCCATATGGAAGTGGATAATGAGGGAAACCCCCTCCACTCCCGGATCCTTCAGACAATCTAGATCTTGGAAATCAGATAAGTGGTTCAAATTATTTAAATTTAATTACACATTTTCTTTCATTAAATCAGCATACAAAGAATTTAAAAAATAAAAAACATAATATTGTATCAAAGGAAAGATATTTGAGTATAGTTTTAATTTAGAATTAAGTTTTACAGTTTTTCCTGACATAGTTACCTGCTCATCAGACGAATTTACCTTAAAATGTTTTTCTTCTAATGGAAACAATTTTACAAACAATTTTAATGTATGCCCAGAATACAACAGAAACGAACAAATCAAACAAATAATGCCCCAATCAAATTGTTTCTTCAAGGATGCCAGTAGTAGTATATTGCAGATATTGTATCTAAGCATTTACCTTCAAATGCAGTCGATAATTTATTTATTTTTACGCACAACAGTCCGTTAAGGACCAGGGCATTTTTTTTAAAACACAATCTTAATATTAACTAATTACAATTACTTTAAACAAAACTTTAACTTAAATATCTATATACAACATTCTTAACTACTTTGAAGGACCTGGTGGACAATATTTCTCCATTAGCTTTTATTTTCCAGTCCCTCACCTTCACGTGTTTAAGGTCTTCCTTCACTTTACTAATCCACCTCGTTCTGGGTCTACCTCTTCTTTTGGGGCCGATTAGTTTTCTGGTTATTACTAGTTTAGGCATTCTGTTTGTTGCCATTCTTTTCACATGTCCCAACCATCTGATTCTTTGTGACTTGACGAACTTGGTAATGGTAGGCTCTTTGTATAAAGCGATTAATTCATTGTTGGTTCTTTTTACCCAACCATCTTCTGTCTTCCGTCCTTCGAATATGTGTCTCAATATTTTCCTTTCCCATCTTTCCAGAGTATCCTCTTCCTTCTTAGTTAATATCCATGTCTCACCGGCATATATTACTGTGGTGCGAATTACCGTTTTATATATTCTGAGTTTACCTTGTCTAGAAACGTATTTTGAGTTTAGTAGGGCTCTTAAACTACCTAATTTTTTATTCCCTTTTGCTATTCTGGCTTTGTGCTCCCATTTCTCTTGTCCATTTTCATCGAAAACAACACCCAGGTATTAAAATTTGTCCACCCTTTTAAAACTATGGCTTTACCACTTACAGACCTCACACTAAAGTCTACTTTTTTCCCTTCTATCTCTCCCATGATCATATATTTGATTGCGTCTTCATTTAGTTCCAATCCGAATTTCTGTGCTTCTTCAACGATTTTCTTCACAACGTTTCTTAATTATTTCTCGGTTTTTGCTAGGATCGTTAGATCGTGAGCAAAAGTCCTTTTCACAAATATTCTACCAACCCAATTCGTGATCAATTTCTCAACGATCAAACTTCCATTTATATTCTCAAGCACAATTACACAATTTGACAAAAAAAGTAAAAGATGTTATCCTTTATCTCCATATCCTAAAATTGTCAGCGCACAAGTCCATTATTAGTTCTGTTAATATTTCTTTTAAGAAGGGAGACATTTTGGTTACAGAACAATATCAGTCCACTATTCATCAAATAACTCTATGACAATAGAATCTTAAATCGGCAAATTCAAATGGAAAAAATTTACAATATTTGTTAAATAATCAAAACATTGTTATAGTTTGCTTGTCAGAAACTAGATTTACATCTAATAAATATAATAATCTTCCAGGTTACAATATTGTGAGGGATGACAATTAATAATAAATCAAAATTTATGTATATGGAATTACAGATCTCAGTTCTTCTATCGACTTGTAATAAATCATTCCATTCTTTTAAAATTTAATGATAAAAAATATGACCATTGTATCGCTTTACGTTTAACCAAAAACAAAAATTTTGTTGCACATTTGGGACAAATTCTTTAGTTCTTTTGATCCACTTGTGATCTTTACGGGCGATTTTAATTCGTATAATATTGCTTGGGGTGGGCCAAACACAGACCACTATTATGGCATAACACTTATGAAAGCTTTTGACTGAAATAATATTATATATCTAAACGATGGATCACCTACATTAATAGGAAATTATTTACAAACTCATTCGGCTATCAACCTAACAATTTGTTCTCCCTGCATACAAAATTTACTACCTTGGGATACATTAAAAGATCTTTATGGGTTTGAACATGTACCATGCCTTACACAAAAATATGTATGGTATCCAAAATTAATAAATTAATATCTTGCAAAAAGTTGAATATAAAAAAGGCAAACTGAGATCTACATTACATGGAGTCTCAAGAACAGTTTAGTAAAACAGAATTTGGTGATTACAGTTCTTTTATAAGAATAGTGGAAAACACAGAAAACCAAATCAGTGTTCAAATAAAAATAAACAATGGTGAAATGAAAAATGTCAATATTTAGTACAGAAACGAAAAAACAGTTTGCATAATCATACGAAATATAAGTATAAAAGAACTGATGCTATAGCAAAAAAAAATATTCAAACAAATAAAAAAATATAGTAGGAAAAAATATTATAAATGCATCAATAGATCGCTACCCTTTTAGGAATATATGGAGAAGCTAAATAACTTTAAAAATCAAAATCAATCAGTTGAGAGTTGTAGGGAGGCAGGTCTGGATCTTAACATAAGGAAAACCAAAATACTCGTAATAAGTAAACAACAGAATATAAAACCGTCTATATATGTAAATAATACCAAACTTGAGCAAGTTGATAAAATCGTCTACCTTGGACAGCAATTAAATTGTAATGCAGAAAATCACGGCGAAACTAGATCCAGAATAGAGCAGGCTAGAGCTGCTTTTAGAAGGATGTCCAAGGTGTTATGTAACAGAGACCTAAAGTTGGCATTAAGGATCCGCCTACTTCGCTGCTACGTGTTCTCGGTCTTACTTTATGCTGTCGAGTCCTGGACTGTGAATAAAATCGATCTAAATCGCCTTGAGGCTTTCGAAATGTGGTGCTATAGAAGAATTTTAAAAGTTTCCTGGGTGGAGAAGATTCGTAACTCCACATTACTAGAACGTCTCAGCAAGACTACTGAGATCATAAAAAGCATCAAGCAGAGAAAGCTGGAATATTTCGGACATGTAATGAGAGGTCCCAAATATATATTGCTACAAAATATCATGCAAGGAAAAATAGCAGGCAAACGCAGTCCAGGACGAAGAAGAACCTCATGGTTGAAGAACTTGCGAGATTGGTATGGTGTAGATATAAGCATGCTATTTAGGTGGCAGTGAATAAAATTAAATTAGCTATGATGGTAACCAACGTTATGAAAGGACATGGTACATGAAGAAGAAGATATGTATCTCCTAATCCAACCTTTTTTAATTATGTAGATATAATAGAACATAATATTAGTGGTCATTATCTCACCAATCAGTTTTCTCTTCAAGAATTAGACATGCCATTTAAATAATCTACCAATACAGCTCCAGGTTTTGATAATATACATTATTCTATGTTGTGTAATCATTCTAGATCAGGAAAAATTTTGCTTCTAAATCTGCGATTTGGTTAAATTAAGTTTGCAATAGAAAAACTACATTTTAGTTTCCATATTTAGAAAAACCAAAGAATCAAGCATCGTCATATAGGGCCATTTTTTAGCATCATGTGTTTTAAAAACAGACATAAAAATTATCACAATAACAACTACAATTTTTTTGGAATCTAATAAACTTATTCATAGTTCTCAAGTGGGGTTTCGGAAAAAAAAGTCGATATATGAAACCTGGCCAATATTGTTCCTGATATTTTGATACATACTACTACTAATAATCGGTGCTAAACAAAATTATTTGAAGTACATTGATTTATTGGCTTATATTATAAATGCATTGGCAATTTGAAATATTGTTCAAAAGAACTGACCCCTATTCATTGTTAAGTACAGGTTATCGAACAATCATATAACACGTGTATTCAGTACATATCAAAAACATTAAAATAATATTATTTAAAAAATTACTTACAATCTAAACTTCTCGTTCCACTTGGGATTGAGGGTATGCGGTTTGACTGAAGTCGCTCGGATGAATTTCGCGGGCAGTGCACCGCCGATACTGTCCCTTTGTTCTCGGACCCTGCCATCTTTTCTTTTGAAGCTCAGCTTGAAGCTGTGGTGCTTCCGCAGCTTTTCGTTGCCGCTGCCACTCGTGCCGACTCCCTGATTCACCGATAGGGGATTATCGTTGCTTAAGCCGCAGCCGACGTCAGAAAGCGTCCGGCTGGAGGTTGACGGTTGGGGAGATGATGGAGCCGCTCTCGGTTGGATGCCCAACATGCAATACGGATCGCTGAATCCTGAAACAACAATTAATGTCGATTTTAATTTAAACTATAACTTACAATAAATTGTGTACACATTGTTCTTCAGGATGAAAAAAATTATATAATTCTACAACCGCTAAATTATACTGATTTAAAAAAGACAATAGATTAGTAGCTTTTATATGTTTGTTGAGTATTAAAATATACACCAAAGAAGACAAAGTATTGTATCGATTTAAATATTTAAAGATTACTCCTTAGAATTTCTTACTGAATGTATCTAAACAGGCTATGGTATTTCAAATAAAATAATGAACAAAGTCTTAGACCACTAACAAGGATTTGGACAGGCCATTACATCCATTAAGTTTTAAAACTTTGGTTAAACTTAACTTTGTTTAAGAATAAATAGATTAATTGTATCAAAACTCGTATTCCAAAGATATAAAATAAAATCTATAACACAATATTTTAACATTTGCCATTTCGATCACACAAATTCAGAATCAACCAATTTCAGAAACATATCTTCACCGACAGTTGCAAATCCACAGAAGCAATTCGTTCAGTTGTGGTTACTCGAAATTTTAATATCAAGTTTAAAATTATTACTTACTTACTTACTCCGTGGCGTTACAACCCTTCGTGGGTTTTAGCCGACTCGACAACATGCCTCCACTGTTTTCTGTCTTGAGCAACCTCCATCCAATTCTCCACGCCCATAGTGCTTAGGTCTCCTGCTATATTATCTCGCCACCGGAGACGAGGGCGTCCGCGTGGTCTCCTTCCAGTTGGGACTTCCTCCCACACCAGTCTTACTGTTCGTTCGTCAGAATGTCTTCTGAGGTGTCCTGCCCATTGGAGTCTTCTGGACTTTATTTCTTTTATGATGTTGGCGTCTGGGTAAAGTTCTTCAAGCTCTTTATTAGTTCTTATTCTATATTGTCATGATGCTTCATCAAGCACCGGACCAAAGATCTTCCCTAGGATTTTTCTTTCTCAAACACGTAGTCTTTCTTCATTTGCCTTTGTTATCGTCCACGTTTCGCTTCCATACATCACAACGGGTCGTATGATTGTTATATAGACCTGTATCTTCGTCCGTCGTGTTAGTTGTTTTGATTTTATAAGGTTTTGGAGGGCAAAAATACATCTGTTGCTGGCCTGAATCCTGTTTAAAATTATTGCACAAGTTTTATTATTCTCAAAACTTTATGTATTCTATTAGGCTCTAATCCCAAATTCCTTACCACGCTAATAATGTTAATATATCTCCCAAACATTCTATAAAGATGATGATAAAATCAGCGGTTTTACATGCCTAGAAAATATTTGGTAAACCATTTAATTCTTCTGCTTCTTCGTAGCCTTCTATCGTCCGTTTTTGAACATAGACCTCCTCCAACTCCTTCATCTATCCCTCTCATCTGTGGTCTTCCTCTTGTTCATCAACTTTGTAAGGTCTTCAATATTGTATTATGGCGTTCCAATGTTGGTCTTTTAGCAAGCATTTTAGTTTAACAATTTCTTTTGTGAAATCCTCAACTTTTGTTTTTGATCTTACCCTGTCGTTTCTCTTTCTATCTGAAAGTCGTCATCCTAACATTCCTCTTTTCATTTCCTGTTCTAGTTTGCTAGTTTGTTTATATTTGCCTTAATTAGGGTTCAGGTTTGATATCCATATGTTATGAAAGGAAGGATCTACTTTGCTCAAGTTATGATCTCAAGTATTGAGGTATTTTGAGGTCTTAAGTAACCAACAGAGTTTCAAATGAACTTCAAGATCAATATCGTATATGCATAAATTCAAAACTCATAAAGGAGAAAAGTGGGTATCAGAGTGGCTCCATAACTTTTCTTATTTTGCAGACCGGGTATATCTGGTCTGTTGCTTCTCGTTTTGATCCGGCAAGCAAAAAACTAGCAGTTTACGACTCTGTATGGCACGATCTGTTGCCAAAATATCGCCACGAGTTTCCACCATCCCCTCTGCAGATACTAACTTCTTCTTTTTCTTCTTCTTCTTCAAAGCCTTGTCCAGTCCGAATGTTGGCGATCATCAAGGCTATCGTGGTTTTGTTAAGTGCTCTGCAAAACAGCTCCATGGAGGTCATCCCAAACCATTGTCGGAGGTTTTTTAACCACGAGATACGACGGAGTCCCAGTCCTCTCCTGCCAAATACTTTACCCTGCATAACGAGTTGAAGAATTTGATATTTTTCTTCGTTTTGCATCACGTGCCCGAGGTACCCAATCTTACGTTGTTTCACTAAATTAAGCACTTCTTTTTCTTGTCTCATGCGCTGTAGGACCTCAACGTTAGTGATATGGTCCACAAACGATATTTTTAGTACCCTTATGTAGATCCACATCTCGAAGGCTTCAATCCGCTTTTCTGTGGCTTGTGGCAGTTTCCAGGCTTCAACTCCATGAAGTAACACTGGAAGAATATAGCACCCCACTATCTGCATCTTGGTTTCCAAACTGAGATCACTGCAGCACAGCAAGGATCTCAACTTGATAAATGCTACCTGCCATTAATGCCCCAAGATTTAAAACTATTAGTCAAGGTCTAGTCCGTATGTTACACTCACTTTTACTTACCCTAATGTATTTTAAAGTCCCATTCGTGCATCTTGTTTTTGGCTCTACCTTACATATTAACATTTTCTTTTCAGCTGCTTTTCGAAGATACGCAACGACCTGGTTATATCTCTTAATCTAGTATCAGTGGGCTGCAGGACACTTTTAAAAAACGTGCCTCAAACTGTCTTTACGTTCGAATTCATAGACCACCCTTGTTAGTGCCAGCATGCTTAATGCATCGGCGTACCTACGACTGAGGAACAGAATTTTCGCACGGCTATGCACATGGTCCTGTCAATACCTTTCAGCGTTTTTATAATAATTGTGGGGCTCTGGAGCTTGTTGGTTAGTAAAGTTGTTTAAATCAATTGGTGTGCATGCCCAAATCAATAGCAATAAAAAAACTTAAATAAAAAGCCCACGAATGAAATGGATAGATGATGTAGATAAACACCCCAAATAGCAAGAATGGTTTTAAATATGATAAGAATTGGAATAGTGTAATATGTTAGTGTCAGCCTCTATAAAAGCTATAGTGCCAAAATGTAAACTAAAAATTTCACTTTCTTTTTAAATATATTTTTTAACAATCTCCTTGCTCAGTTAAACCAGATTCATTCTCTAATATGGCAAATCTGAAGATCATTTATTCATGGTGTCGGCTCTATACTTCGTAGCATGTTGAAATTACTTAAAATATTCATATGCAAGTATAAAAATTTTCCAATAACTCCTGGGTTATATATAAATCTGTTTGTCTTACAAACGGTAATACAACATCGAATGGAAATGAATTCAAGTTTAGGTTGGAAGATTTGCTCAAACGGAACGGTCGTTGTTATGAACTGATCAGAAGCCGGCAAAATTTGAGGAAAATTCTTCTTCTTCTTCAAGTTCCACTCCTATCGGAGATTGGAAATCATTCTGGCAATTATAATTTTATTGGTTACTCGCCTGAATAGTTCAATTGAACTGCATCCAAACCACTCACGGAGATTGCGTAGCCACGAGATTTTACGTCTTCCTACGCTTCTTCTACCTTTGATTTTACCCTGCATTATATTCCTTAGTAGTTCGTACTTTTCACCTCTCATGATGTGCCCCAAGTATTCCAATTTCCTGATCTTTATGGAATTTAAAACTTCGCATTGTTTTCCTAGTTGTTCGAGAACTTGTTCGTTTGTTTTGCGATCCATCCATGATATTTTCAAAATGCGTCGATAACACCACATTTCGAATGCTTCTAGGTTTTTAATGTTGGATTTTTTTGAGTGTCCAACCTTCAACTCCATACAAAAGGGTAGAGAAAATATAACATCGAAGCATTCTTATCCGGAGCGATATATTGATATCGCGATTACAAAAAAATTTTCTCATTCTATTAAAAGTTGTCCGCGCAATTTCAATGCGGCATCTTATTTCTTTTGTCTGATCAGTATCTTCTGTGATCCATGATCCAAGGTATTTGTACGAAGATATTTGTTCAATTTCTGTATTATCTAGTACTAGCTTAACTTTGATGTTTTGTGCTTTTGTAAATACCATGAACTTGATTTTCTTCAAATTGATTTTTAGTCCATAATCGTTGCAATATATATTTAGTTGTTCAGCAAGGTGTTGCAGTTCTTCTAGTGTTCCTGCCAAAAGGACGGTGTCGTCAGCATATCTTATGTTATTAAGTGGCTCACCGTTTATTATAAGGCCCCCACTGATCTCGGCAAGCGCTAATTCTGAGATGGCTTCACTGTATAAATTGAATAGCAAGGGTGATAAAATACACCCTTGAGGAAAATAGTAGAATTTTACTCTATGCAATATGTCGATTTTGGAAGAGTAACCACTATTTCTATGTTCTGAGAGATTTAACCTCACTTATTTGTACACTCCAATAAATTTTAATATAAATAAATAAAAAAAATAAATGGATAATAAATCCAGTTTACACCCCAGAAATTTCAGTGCGTTTTTAGTGAAATCAAGGTAACTTTTTTGTTATAAATTTTAAAGTAAAGATAGACATTTTTTAATATAAATAATAATTGCTTTCATTAAAATTTAAAAATATTGCAATGATTAAAATTGTGAGTTTAAGGGCGTGGTCTTTGCTGTTATTTAATTTGTTCTGTTTTTAAATTTGGAGTTGACATATGCTAGCTTAGTATTATTTTTTTACACTAGTTTGTTTTGTTTTTGAAAAAGGTTAACCTCGATATACAGTTTATTTAAAAAGATATCTTTTAGTTGTACTAATTTATTTCTGCCACAGTTATAGCCCAGTAACATTTGTAAGTTTTGTAGAAACGGATTTTGTAAAACAGACAGCTCATAACCTCATAACCTCTTTTTGTGTTTATAATTTTAGGAAAGAAGAGCATATTTTCCTTTATCCAGCAAGACTGGGATTCTTTGAAGTGGTGTCCCTACTTCAAATAGCTAGAGGTCTTTCT